CCCCCCCCCCAAAAAAAAGGAAACCTAGTCCTTCTCCAAATGTATCTGGATCATGTGAGGCACAGTGAGATTCTGGGATGGTTAGGAAAAGACTTCCGGTCTCCATGCTTGAGTTTTCCTGCAGTTGGAGAGCTGTGATGCTTTTTGTACATTGCCATCATTTTTTGCTCTTAATGTCCTACCCCAAATCTCTCAGTGCCAAACACACCAGAGGTGTTTGTTTAGTGAAGAATTCATATCCAAATGTCTTCATGCCTGAAAACAGAGATTAAGAGGGGAAAACAGTTGAACAATCACTCACTAAAGTTGGAAACAATGCAAAAGAATACTCACAGAAACTCCTTGGACGATCCAATGTGATCAGATATGCAATGTGTACAATGTCATGCTTATTCTTTCTGGCATTTTCCTAGCACAGTGGATCTGGCTCTCCCTGGAAATGGTTTGTAGGTTCTCTAAGTGACATGTCTGTCATCTGGGGTGCTATCTTAGTGGACTTTCTGGAGGTCACTGAAAAGGCAAGGCAGACGTGTGATGCACCCATCCAGCGTGTGAGGTCAGGGCCACTATCTTGGCAGCCGTGTTGAGAGTTGTGACTTGTAGAAAGGACGCAGTGATGCATGAAAGGTGAATTCACTAGGGCATGAGGTCTGCTTAGTCTTGCTCCACCAAGCTTTTATAGTCAAGGTCAGTGCCTGGCACTGGGATGTCAGAATTCTACCTCTTTAATTGGATATCATCGGGAGAATTTTACTTAGAACTTAAGTGTACTGGGCAGGCAAGCTTGTATATACAAGTCCTTTGCTGTCAATTTCCTTTGCCCAAAGTCAGCATCTTGGAAAAGGAGTCTGAGGTCAACCCTGGATACCTTTCACTAAATTCCTTCAGTTACGACTTTTCGAGAAAAGTTCCTGATTGATTTTCTTTTTTGAGCACTTTGAAAGTGTGAGGCACTAGATTTTGACATGCAGTATCTCATGTAATTTCTAAACCTAGAAAAATAGCCTTCTTATTTTTCTGATATTGCTGATGAGAATATCAGGCTATGCGAAATGACATGCTCAAGGAAGGACTCCAAGAGTGGCGAAGACAAAATTTGAACCCAGACAGGAAAAACTCCAGAGTTAATGATCACAGCGATGCCTCGAGTAGTTTATTTGTGCATTCAGTTTTCTTGGTTGGCAGATCAGTGGTAGCTCAGCCTGTAATCCCAACCACTCAGGAAGCTGAGATCTCAGGATTGCCATTTGATACGGGCTGTGGCAGGAAAGTCCATGAGAGACATATCTCCAATTAACAACCCCAAATCCAGAAGTGAAGCTTGACTCAAGAGGTAGAGTACCAGATTAGGGCAAAACAAAAAACAAAACAAACAATAAAACAAAAACAAAAACTAAGAGACAAGTACCCAGGCCCTGAGTTCAAGGCCCAGGACCAGCACACACAAAAATAATTTTCTCCATTGAGTCTGCTATCCAGGTTCTATACTAACTGCAGGGCATGTGGTGGTAAGCAACTATGCACAACACTGCCTTGGTTTCTTGCTTTACTTTGTGTATCTCACTCATCAGGATATAGGTAGATTCTTAAAGGGGTATGCAGAACATCTTTTCCCTTGCGCTTACCCCAGAAGGAAGCAGAAGATACTTCTCTAGGACAGAGGGTCAACCCAATGGATATTGCTTACCATTCTCAGCTTTGTTTGCAACTATAATGTAAAATTAGATCCTTTGGGGCAAACCACATCAATTCAGCAACATCCTCTCTTCCAAATTAGCTGTATATTTGAGGCCCAATGGTGCCTAAGTTTTAATAAGTGAATGATCCAAGAAAGGGAAGGAATTGTCTAGTAAGTCTGTGCATGCTTGTGGGTTCTAAATGATGAATGAGACCACTGGGAGAGCGAAGAAAATTGGAAATTCTCATTTGCTGTATGCAATCTAGGGTTTATGCTTTTCAGTCTGGTAATTCTCCTTTGGAGGAACATGTCAGAGAAATAGGTGAAGATCTTCACTGATTTGTCTGTTTATTTTCATTTCTTTCAGCACCTGAGATGTTCACCTCCAAAAAGGAAGCAGGATATTCCTTTGCTGTTGACTGGTGGTCCCTGGGAGTAACGGCGTATGAGCTCCTGAGAGGCCGGGTATAGGAGAACTGGGTGCTCTCATTGTTTATTCTTCTAGAAAGTTCTGTTTAAGAATGAGAGAGTATATTTTTCCTAAGCACCAAACAGCTTAATTGAGAGCTAAACACATCTACTCAGGGTAATGCTGATGAGAATGCTTTACAGATTAATTTCCTGTCTTACATATGGGTCTAATCATGTCCAGGAACCTTACATTACACAGATAAACTAAATGAATAATATAGGTACCATAAGCTCCCAAAGAAGGGAAATCCATGCACTTCACAAAATATCAGCAAATCAATGTGTATGTGTAAAAAAAGTAATTTTGCAGCCATATTTTACAGTCCGGTTCAGACACACCTCTCCAAGGCAAGTGTGAATTCCTAGCACAACTCAGTTCAAGTCCCATCTTGTTAACTCCTGTCTGTCGTCCTACCCCTGAGTTCTGGCTTCAGTAGCAAAGTAGGATAGTTTCCTTTGGAAAGAAACCTTTCTTACACAAGGGATTTTCCTAGGAAAGAAAATACCGAACAAAATATGATAAAGGCTTTATTTTATACAATTTTTCAAATGATTGTACAATTCAGGTATGTCTTGTCTCGGTCTAGCATAGTGAAATATTAGAGAATCGTTGGCTTTTACTCATTGACTTACAGTTACAAAGACAAATTCTGATATCAGATTGCCAGAAATGTTGGGGTCCCATGAAGCCCTTCTTTGTAGCTTATAGACACAACTGCTCATGAGTGTCCTCTCGAAGGAGAGGGAGCAAGAGGGGAAGAGGGAGAAGAAGAGAGAGAAGGAGGAGATGGAGTGACAGAAGGGGGAGGGAAGGAGAGTGAGAGGAGGGAGGAGAAGGGAGAAGAGGAAGGGGAGAGGAGAGAGAGAGAAGTCTCCTCCTCTTCCCATCCCACCCTCCTAACTTAATCTAACCCTAATGACTTGGCAAAGATCCCATCTCCAAGTACCGTCACACTGAAGATTAGAGCTCCAACATGTGAATCTGGGGTAGGATAAATTGGGTCCAGAACATTTCACCACTGGCCTTCCAAGTTCTATGCAAAGCCTGTGAATGAAGAGTGGAAGGGTGAGCAAATGCAATCATCATATTCAATGTACATTATGTAAAAAATGAACTATGTAAACTTGAGGGTAGGGATGGGAGGAGGGAAATGAAGAACAAAGAAAGAATGATGCTGTACTCATAACCTAACATATGGAATTGTAACCCCTTTGTAGAACTACTTAATAATGATAATGATGATGGTAGCCTGATGCCAGTGGCCCATGACTTGTAATCCTAGCTACTCAGGATGCTGAGTTCTGAGGATCATAGTTCAAAGCCAGCCTGGGCAAAAAAGTCCATGAGACTTTGGTCTCCAATAAACTACTTGAAAACCCCAAAGTGGAGCTGTAGCTCAAGTGGTAGAGCTTTAATCTTGAACAAAAGTGGCTCAGGGACAGCACCCAGCCCCAGAGTTTAAGCCCAACAACTGGCACAAAAATAAAAATAAACTTGTTTATTTACAATCCAATAGCTACCAAGTCTTCTCAGTCCAGCATCATCTGCAAAGTCTAAAGACCACATTTTCAACCAAACATCATCAGAATCTAGTATGGGAGATTGAAGGTATGATTCAGCCCAAGGCACTCCAACTGTGAACCTATAAAGCTAGACATACTGTGTGCATCCAAAATACAAGGGTAGAGTCAACATGGAATAGACAGTTCCTCTCTAGGAAAGAAGGAAGAGACTATATCCAAATAAAGTCCAAATATAGCAGGTCTATTACTATTACAACTGAAGACTCAATAATAATCCCCTTTCCTAGACACTGGAATCACTGCTACTCAGGATCTAGACACAGAAGGATAACAGTGGTTGAAGCCACTTGGCCCAAAAGTTGCCTCATCTTAAGCCCAAGAGGGTCCTGGTGGCACATATCTGCTCCTAGCTACTTGCAAGGTCGAGACAGGAGGATCTTTGATGCTAGCCAAGGCAAAGTTAGTATGCCATCCTGTCTGGAAGAAAAAACTAAATAAACCCTAAAAATGAAAACATTGGTAGTATGGTTCAACTGGTAGAGCTCTTGCCTAGCAACCACACAGCTCAAGTTTGATCTATAGTACCACACTGATGACAACAACAACATACAATGTCATTCTCTCTGGCTATAATTAAGGATGACATCCTGTCATTTATAGCAACTTGACAGGAAATGAAAGATACTGCATGAAAAAAAATCCAGACACAGAATGACAACTACCACATACTCTGATGTTTGTGGCAGTAAAAAATAGTGATAGAACAGAATAGAATGGAAAGAATAGACTAGGAATAAGAACAGAAAGAATAGAATTGATGCCAGGTGCTTGCAATCCTAGCTACTTAGGAAGCTGAAATCTGAGGATTGCATTTTGAATCTAGACCAGGCAGAAAACTCTGGGAGACTCTTATTTCCAATTAACCACCAAAAAAGCTGGAATTGGAAGCTATGGCTCAGGTGGTAGTATGTGCTAGCACAAAAACTCAGGGAAGCACTTAGGCCCTAAGTTTGAGCCCTAATATTAGTACACACACACACACACACACACACACACACACAAAATAACAGAAGAGAATGAAGGTGGGAGGAGTAGAGAGGAGAGGGGAGGGGAGGGAAAGGAAAGGGAGGAGAGGTGAGGAGAGAGGAGAAGAAGAGAGGAGAGAAGAGGAGAGAAGAGAAGAGGAGAGAAGAGAAGAGATTAGGAAAGAGAGGAGGAGGGAAATGGAGAGGTGGATAATAGATACCAAAATAAAGTTGGAGGAAGTACTTCTAATGTTTTATATCATAGTAGCACAACTATGACCTACAATGATGATGCATTTCAAAATAACCGAGGACCTTGAGGGATTTGGACACAGAAGTGAAAACAGTTCAGGAAATGGTAATTCTGACAACTCCGACTTGATCGATCAATGCACTTGGCATATATACTCTGCCACATGAACAAGCACAAATATTGTGTGTTGATTAAAAAAGAACAAGAAGGATCCTCTTCGTTTTTGCTGTTTGCCCTGCAGGTTTTGTGCAGTGGCAGCCTGGTGTTCGTGGTGAAAGTAGAAAGTTCATATCCACGGCTTCCCAGCACCTGGCCACGTGTCTCTGGGTTCTCCCGACACAGCTCTGCCTGCTAGAGGTCTGTCTTGAGCTTGGAAGTTCAGGCCGAAGGAGCCTCATGCCAAGCCAGTGCACTGTGGGAAGAATGCAGCCACAGTGATGTTAACTTCCCTTTACTTGGCCAGTGCTACACGTCCCCCACCAGCTTGTATCATGGTCCTCCTGTCTTACAAAACCTAAGACAGCCTTTGTTGGTCTCATCCCATTGTCTGGTCTGTGCCTCTGTCTTCCAGCCAGTGCATCTCAACTGCTAGAATCCCAGCTCTATCTCCGGCTTTTGTGGAGAGGCTAATGAAGTTTCTGAGTCATAGGCATTAACTCTAGAAAGTGGTTGTCCAGCCCTATCCTTTTTTTTTTTTTCCCCATGGGGCCTGAACTCTGGCCTGGGCACTGTCCCTCAGCTCTTCAGCTCAAGGCTAGTGCTCTACCGCTTGAGCCACAGCACCACTTCCAGCTTTTTCTGCTTATGTGGTGCTGAGGAGTCGAACCCAGGGCCTCATGCATGCAAGGCAAGCGCTCTACCACTGAGCCACCTTCCCAGTCCCTCCAGCCCTATTCTTGATGTTCTATTCAAGCTATCTTTTATTTATTTTTTACAATATGATAGGCTGCAATGTTTCCAGATGTTTGGTTTCTGTTTTCTTTATGCTTCTTGGTTTTTCCTGGCCTTCAACTTTGGCATTGAACTGTTAAGTAATCAGCAACCAACCCACTTACTCCTTCAACATTTTGATAAAAAAAAAGCCTTCCCAATGACATATCCTTGTAATATATGTGTGTGTGTGTGTGTGTGTGTGTGTGTGTGTGTGTGTGTGTGTGTGTGTATATATGCCCATCTTACAAGACACTAAGCACGCAGTTCAGACAAGTCCTTTGCCACGTTGTCACAAGAATCACTATTTATGATTCTTCAAGTTTCCAGTACCATACCCCACACTTCTCTGTGACTTGACTGATTGACCTTAGGGTCCATATTTCTAGCATGCACCTCAAAGCTGACTTCTGGAATTCTTTATGCTTTAATTAGCAGCCCTCTTCTTGGCCCAACATTGTGCCACCATAATTTCTACTCTTAAGAGGAATATCTCATGACTGATTGGGCTCCTCCCATATTGGAACAACTGTTAGGATTTAGGGCTCAGAGGTGAGGAGGATCTTGCAATTGTATCTTCTTCACTGACTCCTCAGACTTTGGGCCACACCTCACTGAGTCTTTATGAGAAGATCATTTGTTAAGCATATATATTCTTTTTTCTCTCCTCTTCCTCCTCCTCCTCCGTGTGTGTGTGTGTGTGTGTGTGTGTGTATGTGTGTGTGTGTGTGTGTGTGTGTTGTGTGTGTGTTTAAGGTAGGGTCTGAGTCAGTAGCCTAGGTAATCATGCTGGGATTACAAGTGTGTACTGCCATGCCTGGTGGAGAACCTTGAAATTTTGGCAAATTATGTATAGTTAGGGAGGACAGTCACTTTTGTTTGTCAGATACAAGGTCCTCCACAGACAGCCACAGACACTACCCATTTTTGTTTTCTGACAGACTCTGTCTCATCTTCTAAAGAGACCTAATGAAGAAGTGGACATGTTATGGATGCTGATATGTCAACAAATAGGAAGGACAGGCACATTATTTACTTACAAGGCAGAGCACCTCTATCCTTTCTCACCTCATTCTCAGATTCTCCCAGACAACTCTCTCCTGAGACGACTCCTGAAACCATTTCTGTGATCCAGAGAGAGCCTACTCTGTCCCCGTCTTGAGTAACACATTCAGTAGAACAATTCTAGAAGCGCGTGTGGGTTCTGCCTGGGCTGATTCCTGCGGGAACAGTTGGATGGGTGGAGCTCATGGGCTGGCTCAGCGGGGCCTCTGACTTCCGGGCAGTGAGCATCAGAGCTGATGGAGAGAAAGTCCTCTTATAAACACTTAGTGGAGGTTCTGTTTCCCTTATGCCTTTACCAAGACAAACAATTCAGATGTGGTCCTTTCATTAGTATTGACAGAAGAAAAAAACACTTGTGGCCATTGTTTATAGACCTTATTTGACGAGAGTGACAAGGTTGGCCTACTTTCCCTCCAGAGGGGTCATGTTCGGGCCTCTCCTCGTTCCCCTGGCAACCAGTGTTGATTCACTGTACGTAAATTGGTCTCTCTTTACAGCATCGTTGCTGATGGTCCATCTCCCCGTTTCTTTTGTAAAATTGTTTTATGGTTATTGTAAAGGTGATGTTCAGAGGGGCCACAGTTACCTTGTCAGATGAAGAGGACGTTTGTTTTTGAACAATGTCATTTCTCTCCCAGTGTTCCCCTCCGATCTCCCCCCCCCCAGCTTCTCATTTCTTTTTGCACTTCTCTGAGACTCCGTACTCCTTGACACGCCTCAACTTTGCCCACATCATCTCCTCTGGTTTTCCTGCAATATCACAAAGTGGCTCATCACGCCGATGAGGTTGCTTTATCATACAGATAAGAAACAGAGACTAAGACATTGAGTGGCTGAGTTTAGCATTCACATCCTTTTGCTCCACCCCACCTGCCACCCCTATGCTCAAACACTGCCCGTATTAGGGCTCGAACTCAGGGATCCACACTCTTGCTGGGCTTTTTTATTCCAGGCTGGCTCTCTACCATTTGAGCCATGTGCTTACATCTAGCCTTTCAGTGGTTAATTAGAGATTTAAAAAAATCTCACAGTTTTCTGCCCAGGCTGGCTTCAATCCTCTCTTCTCAGATCTCTTCTCCCGAGTAGCTAGAGTTATAGGCATAAGCCATCGGCACCCAGCTGTTATAGTACTTTTTAAATTGGTTCATTTCTTTTTATTGTAAGGGTGATGTACAGAGGGGTTGCAGTTACATAAGTCAGGTAATGAGTCCATTTCTTTTTGCACAGTGTCACAGTGTTTTCCCCTCCTGACTGCCCCCCACAAGTTATATAGTTCATTTTAAACATAATGTCTAGTGAGGATCACTGCTGAATTTGTTCATCCTTTGTCCCACCATTTCTGTGCACCCCTTTACCCTCCTCCACACAGATAAACTTACATACAAGACAAAAGGCACAGAAATCAGAAACACAACAAAGGACGGGGGGGGGGAACGTAACATGACAAAAAACCCTCCTGTTTGAATTTCTTGGCGTTCTTTTCAATAAACATTTTATACGATCATATGCACATAGCTATGGAGCCTTTTAATACTGACTGACTGCAGGGAAAAAATGCAAACACTTTCCCAACTCCCAGCTTAGTTCAGCAGCTAGAGATCGTTTGTTAAACACCCAGGAAGGTGCACACCAGATGAATGTGCAAAGACGTATGAACTGCCTTGCGATTAATCTATTATGGGCATGTTGTGCATTCACCAAACATATGTTGAGTCCCTACTAGATGCTGGGTTCCACTGAAAAGAATGGGAGTACTCTGCTATATGCTCTGGTTTTAAGCTGCTTAGAGTTCATAGAAGACATTGCCATCAAATACAGTGAAAACGGGTTATCCCGTGGGAGAGGGACACACAAAGAAACAAAAAAAATCACACGGTACATTATAAATAGGTTAGGAACAATAGCAAGAAAGAGAAAAAAACACTTGTGTCCCTATCTTGAGGTTCATTTCGCTTAACATCATCTTATCTGGTCATATGTACATAGCTTCTGAACTTTTCTGCTTGTCTCAGACATATACTAGTTATTGCAAATAAAGGAAACCATAGGAAATAAGGAAACCCTAGATTCTTTAGGCTTGGCTTACTTCACTTAAGATAATTTTTTCCAAGTTTTTCCATTTCCTAACAAATGAGGTGATGTCATTCTTTCTAATCATCGTATTTGATGTTGGTGCCCTCCATCTTGTATATACACTTCTCTAGCTTGGGGAGGGGATGGGAAAAAACCAAAATGTTTAGATAGGGATACAGGTTGACACATTGAAACAATGAGATATACAAGACACTATGTTGAAAAATAAACTTTACAATTTAGGTGGGGAGGAGGGTAGTGTATGTAGTAGTAGAGGTGGGAGGGAAGGGAGGGTAGGGGAAAAACAAAGAAGGAGGTAACAATGCTTATAGGAAATGTACTCATGACCTTGCTCATGTAACTGTAACCCCTGTGTACAGCATTTTTACAATAAAAAATGTATTTAAAAAAAGATACAGAAGTCCAGAGTTGGCCAGTTGCTTATAAAATAGCAAAGTTAACATCAGCAAAGGCTGCCCCCTAGTGGACAATGTCGAGATCCATGACTGAGCTAGTTGTTTTATACCTTTTTTGGTTTTTAAATTATCTTTAAGCAACTGTACAAAGGGGTTTCAATTCGACATGTCAGTTTGTGGGTACAACACACCCTGATACATGTCACACCTTTACTGTTCTCCCCATCCTTCTCAATCCCACCCATCCCCTCCAGTTACCTCGTTCCCTGTTCACACAGACTATGATGACAGATGCAGTTTTGTTCAATGTCCCCCCTGTTAAAGCTACTGATGAACCTGATTCTTATAGAAAATTGTTTTCTTTAAATTTTCCCTGCCATAAAATTCACTACCTCATATTCCGTGGAAGGAGAGACTCCCAGCTTTTGAGGCTAGGGTGGATGTTTTCTGAGCTGCTTTCTATTCTGAACTTCATTAAGTTTCAAATAAGGGGGAAGTAAATATGGTAAAATTCTGGATCCCTTTATGGTCAAATGTTATATAAAATGTTTATAACATCTTTATTGTCCAGTTTTTATGGTTTTTTTTTAAATTGTGAAAATACCATACAGGGGGGTTACAATTACATGGGCAAGATAGTGAGTACATTTCTTATCAAGCATTGTTGCCTCCTCCTTTGTTTCCCCTTTCCATCCCTTCCCCTCTCCAATCCCACCAACCCCACACCCCCTACCACCACCACCCCACCCTCCAAAGTTGTAAAGTTCATTTTTCAACATAATGTCTTGTACATCTCATTGTTGTAATGGGTCCACCTGTAACCCTATTTAAACAATTTGTTTTTCCCCCTTCCCCTCCACAAAGCATATCAACATCAAATACAGTGAAAACGGGTTATACCATGGGAGAGGTACGTGCAAAGCAACAAAGAAATGTACATTACTTACAATACAGTTTCAAATCAGTGCCTTATTGACCTATTCGAGCCACTGAAATATTTGTTTGAATCTGTGGAATTACCAACTAAAATTATGGTATTTCACGAGAAACTGTGAGTGCATAGCATCTGTTGATAAACAGTGGGTCTGAAATAGCTTTAGCAATGCACTGTGACTAACAATCTGCTAGAAGGGGTTATACTTGACATTCATACTTTATGGATTGAAAATTTCACTTGTAAACATTTGCAATCTTTTTTCTTTTGCTCCATAAAAGTGAAGCCTCTTACCTTTTCTCTCCCTTAAGAGACCATATCACATTCGGTCCAGTACTTCCAGCAAGGAAATTGCACACATGTTTGAGACAGCTATTGTGACCTATCCTGCTGCGTGGTCACAAGAGATGGTGTCCCTTCTTAAAAAGGTAAGAAGGAAGGAAGGGGGAAATACAGTCATAATATTCAATGCACTTCCTATGAAATTAAGAAAATTGAGGAGAGGGGTTGGGCTGGAGGAATGGGGAAGACGGAAAAGGGGGACCATAGACTTTTAAACTAATAGGTAGCGCCTTGGTACAACTACTTGCATATAATTAACAATATATAATCTTCAAAGAAAGGTAAGGAGGAATATAGCAGGCCAAAAGGAAGAAATAAAAGAGAGTATCTTCCCTGTCTAAGATTAGAAGTTAGTATTGAGCATTGGGAAGTCAGGGCAGTATGCATTTGCAGAATGGTGACTGTCACAGCTAACAGCTCTTAAGACACATGCTTTTTCTTTTATGTTTTTCTTTCCTTTTTATTTTGTCAGTTGTGGGGCCTGAATGCACGGCCTAGGCATGGTCCCTGAGCTTTTCTGCTCAAGGCTAGTATTCTATTACTTTGAGCTACAGCACCACTTCTGATTTTCTGGTGGTTAATTGGAGATAACAGTCTTCTAGACTTTCCTGCCCCTGTTGGCTTTGAACTGTGATCCTTATATCTCAGCCTCCTGAGTCGCTAGGATTGACAGGCTGAGCCACCAGCTCGCAGCTGCAGGTCCTTTATAAGTAGAGAAACAGAGAGGGAAAATATTGGAACAACTGAGACACTACTAAAGAACCTAAGCGCTAGTCACGTCTCCTAGAGTAGTGCGCGAGGTTGTCTGTGTGGAGCTGCACACTGCCCACACACAGACCACTTGGTAAACTGAGTGGGTGAAGAATTAAACTAAGCAAGCAGCACTTGAAAATAATCACATAGTTTAAGAAGCATACCTTCTCATCTCACCTAAAATATCAATTCCTTGGGGGAGAGTCTTAATGTCCTCAGCTTTAACACTGTCTTTTCTTCATAGCATTTTTCATGGTTTAACTTTCTACATGTGTGTAATTTGGTAGGCAAGTGAGTGTGATTCTTGGATTAGTACTGAGTCTGTGAGCTTCTTGAGGGCAGTGCCCCTGAGCTCACAGGGACCCAGGGAGAAGGAAAACTCCCCAAGTATTTGAGTGAATGGGGCTGGTTGCTTTTTATCAGAGGTTAAGGTGCTTTTTTCACTACAGGACTGAAAACAATTCTAGTAGACCTCAATAAAATACCTTAAAGTAAGTATTTTTTTAAAAAAAGACTTCTGCTTGTAATCCTAGCTACTCAGAAGGCTGAGATCTGAGGATTGCAGTTCAAAGTCAGCCCAGCCAGGAAAATCCGTGAGACTCTTATCTCCAGTTAACCACCAGAAAACCACAAGTGGCACTGAGGCTCAAGTGGTAGAATGCTCACTTTTAGCTGAAGAGCTCAGGAATAGTCCGTAGGCCAAGTTCAAGCCCCATAATTGACTTAAAACAAAAAGACCTTTGTACTAAAAAAAATGATGAGCCCAAAGGACTGTCTTTTTTTTAATGAAGAAGAGGAAAGTGCTCAAGTTGTGACTGCTAAAGACATAAGGTTTTGGGGGCGGGGGCAAAGATTTAAAATCTGTGTCTCTTGCTTGGGGGTCAATTTCCCTACTTTGGATTAGCAACATTTTCATAACTAATATCAAAGGTCTTGGGAGGCAGAGATCAACACTGCCATTTGAATGATACTGCTCACAAAATAAATAAGTGAAGCCTCATCTCAACCACTAAGCCATCAGAGATAGTTAAGCCCCCATGGTCCCAGCTCCATGGAGGGTATGGGTAGGAGGTTCATATTCTGGACTGGCCATGGGCAAAAAAAATTGAGACCTTCTCTAAAAAATCTAAAATCAAAAAAGGCTGGAGGTGTGGCTCTAGTGGTAGAAAGCATGTTTAACAAGTGCAAGGCCCACAGTTCAAACCCCAGAACCACCAAGAACATAAGAAAAGTCAAAGATGAGAAATGAGAGTCATTTTTCTGAAAGGCATCCTTCCGCTCTAAGATGGGTCAGATCCACGCTGAGTCCCACAGTATCCTCTCCAGGAACACCTCGCCTGGGACTGACTTCACTCTTTGAGTCCCATCATTGAGGTGATGCTGGTTCTGGAGTGGTTATGAGAAAAAGTATTTTCTCTTACAATCCCAGAATATAACAGTAACTGTAGTTATATATACCTCAGCTGGGCAGTTTCCACAACATATAAATTAATTGTAAAAAAAAAAAAGACAAAAAAACCAAACTGGGCTCCCGTGGCTCACATCTGTCATTCTGGCTACTCAGGTGGCTGAGATCTGAAGACTGCACTTCAAAGCCAGCCTGGGCAGAAAAGTTGATGAGACTCTTATCTCCACCACAAATAAAAGCCAGAAGTGGAGTTGTGGCTCAAATGCTCGAGTGCTAGCCTTGAGCAAAAAAGCTCAGGGCCACCTCTCAAGCTAGGAGTTCAAACCCCAGGACTAGCATACACATGCATGTTCAAGCATGCATAAGCACATGCTCATGTACTCTCTCTCTCTCTTTCTCTCTCTCTCTCTCTCTCTCTCACACACACACACACACACACACACACACACACACACACACACACACACACACCCTAAATACTCATACCTATAATTCTAGCATGTTGGCAGGCTAAGATTCAGAGAACTATAGTTCCTGGCCAGCCTGGGCAAAACAGTATGCAACATATCTTCTCAAAGGAAGAAGGTGGGCATGGCAATGTGCACCTGTCATTGCAGCTATGGTAGAAATCCTCAACTAAGAGGCCTGTGTGTTCCAGGTATGGGCCTGGGCACAAAGGAAGACCCTATCTCAAAATAACCAAACCAAACCAAACCAAAACAAAACATTCTGGAGTTATAGCTCTGTGGTAGAGTTCCTGCCTAGCAAGCATAAAGCTTGGAGTTCAAACTCCATACTGGAGCGTAGGTGGCAGGTGTGTGTGGGGGGGAGGAGAACTACTATAAGTCTAACAGGGGAGTTAGTAATGAAGACTTCTTTGGTTCAGAAGTACAAGCTATATGTACTCTAAATATTGCAACCCCCAATGCCAATCACGCGTTGCCTGTATTACTTGCAGATGAGGTTAGAGGAGCCATGCTCTGGAGTCTCGCAGAAGAATGGCTCTGAGACATTGAATTGTAATAGTTGCAAACACTGAGGAGGAGGGAGCGGGAAGATTTGTATGAGGTTTTATTCCCCTGAGTTTTGACTTTGTTCCGAAGCTCATTGTTTGTGTCCCTTTGGCAGCTACTTGAACCTAATCCAGACCATCGTTTTTCTCATCTGGCTGACATTCAGAACTTCCCCTCCATGAGTAATGTGAATTGGGATGCAGTCCTGCAGAAGAGGCTTACCCCAGGTTTCATTCCAAACGTGAGTCAGTCCTAGAAGAAAAACAGGACAAGTCTCCCTCAGGGCCTGTTCCTCTGTGGGCTAAATCTACACATTGTTTCATGAGATACACACACTGAGAAAAGCCAGAATTCACAGACAGCTGAGCAATGACCTGACTAGAGCTCTAGATTCTGACCTTTTTGTATGTTATGCTTATGTTGGGAGGAAGTTCTAGTCCCAATAAAAGTCACTTCCATATGTCTGTGAGTTCAAAATAAGTGTTTCTTTAGATTTCAAATATTAATTTGATTTCAAATATTAATTAGATTTCAAATAGTAATTGTGCTTATAGAGGTCTGTCAGTCAGAAGATAGAGAACTTAGTAAACTATTGAGATTAAGTAAGGAATTAATTTTGGTTTCCCATCTGCCCTCTCCCTATGCCATATATAAATTGGGAGGGGGTGTTGGGGGCTGGTCCTGGGACTTGAACTCAGGACCTGAACAGTGTCCCTGAGATTTGTTGTTGTTGTAGTTTTTTAAGTCTGGCTCTCTATTACTTAAACCACAGCTCCACTTGCAGCTTTTTGGTGGTTAATTAGAGATAAGAGTTTTGCAGATTTTCCTTCCTGGGCTGGCTTTAAATAGTTATCTTCAGATCTCAGCCTCCTGAGTAGCTAGGATTACAGGTGTGAGCCACTGGAATCTAGCCTCATGGATATATATATAATCTATTGGTGTGGGGGAGGGGGTCCCAAGGCTTTAACTCAGGGCCTAGGCACTGTCCCTGAGCCTCTCTGTGTTTCAAGCTAACTCGCTACCACTTGAGCCACAGCACCACTTCTGGCTTTTCTGTTTTTGTGGTACTGAGGAATTGAACACAGGGCTTCATGCATTCCAGGCAAGCCCTCTACCACTAAGCCACCTTCCCAGCCCCTGGAGCTGTATTTTTTAAGGACTAGTGGTCAATGAGAAATAAAATTCTGACTACCCAACCAAGGGACATCCATATCCCACTGCAGACTGTGGGCATTAGCTTAGGCCAGGGGTCCTAGAGAAGGTCTCTGCCTGGGTTCTGAACCACACAGTGGGAGGTAGGAGCTCTGGGAAGAATGCTGTGTTCCTCCAGCGACTTGTGGGAACACCTTAGACTCTGCTTTTCAAGCTCTAGTGGGAGCTGGTTCTGAGAGTAAGGGAGTGTGATTATTTATGTGAAGAGCTGGGCAGGAAGCCTGGGTTGGGTGGAAGCTGGGGACAGGGGAGGAGGGGGAGGAATAGGAGGAGAGGAAGAAAGGGAGAGGGGGTGGAGAAGCAATATGGCGGAGCTCTGTAGGTGTGAATCTCTCTCCCTTAGGAGCAGGGAGAAAGTGAGGTGAATTTGTACCTGTCCACTTCTCAGGAGGCGCAGGCAGCTTGCTTGGTGACTGACACGGATCCCTCTGAGATCTAGGCACAGGGCCACCGCTGCTTCCCCCTCCTGCCAGCCATGCCTGCCGCCCCAGGAGCAGCTCTGTGGTGTAGGGCTCTCTGGCTTCCCAGTGAATTTGAACCATCTGGGATCTTATTAAAGAGGAGATTCTTGGCTTCAAGTTCAGAAACCCTGACATGGGAAGTCTGGCTGGGCTACAGGCTTGTTAGAAGACACTTGAGAACCCCCAAACCTAAGAATTGTTAAGTTTAGTTCAGTTTCCTTCCTTACACACTGAGGTGAAGGGGAAGTTTAGGGAAAAAAAATATCTTCAATGAATGAACAAGCTTGTCAGGGTTGGCCTGTTCCATGAGGACATGGCGTTCTTCGGTGTGCTGGGTCTGGGGCATTTCTAGACTGAGGTAGGAACTGGACAATCGAGTCAGAACCTCTCTTCTTTGCAGAAAGGCAGGCTGAACTGTGACCCCACCTTTGAACTTGAAGAAATGATTTTGGAATCCAAACCTCTTCACAAGAAGAAGAAACGTCTGGCAAAAAAAGAGAAGGAGATGCGGAAGAGTGACTCGGCCGAGGTAAGCAGTGGTCTGCACCGCACCCAAGGTGACAGGGCTCTCGTGTGGCAGCTGCCACTCATTGAAGTGCCTCTATTAGGGAGTCTTTATGTGCTCTGCCTTTTTTACATGCCAGTAGAGGGGCTTGAACTCAGGGCCTTAGTGCTATCCCTTAGCTTTCTGCTCAAGGCTGGTGCTCTACCACTTGAGCCCCAGCTCCACTGCTGGCTTTTTAGTGGTTAATTGGAGATAAGAGTCCCAGAGATTTTCCTGCCTGGACTGGCTTTGAGCTAACATCCTCAGATCTCAGCCTCCTGAGTAGCTAGGATTGCAGGTGAGAGCCACTGGTGCTGGTTATCAGTGCCCTGGGTTAAAAGCTGGAATCAATAGCCACTAGCTGCTGTACCTTCCTACCCGGGTCTTCTGAGCACAAGCTGCAAGCTTCCACCTTACTTCCAAACCATTAGAGCAGACACAGTGGCAGGACAGTTGTCTTGGAGGCTCAGGGATTCAACTTCTGCTCTCTTCCCATACTCTTCTTCATGTTGCTTCCAACTTGAAGCGTCTTTGTTATTTCTTAGATTTGGGTTCTTCACTGATGAGGTCTTGTACTATGTCTTTTTTTCTGAGCATTCTTCTTCATGCATTAATGATACCTCTATTTCCTCCCCCGCCCCCACAATGTGAACCTTAAAGACCTGTCTTCTTCAAGAGCACCTTGAATCTGTCCAGAAGGAGTTTATAATTTTCAACAGAGAAAAGTAAGTAGTACCAGGGAGACCAACAACTTAAAAATGACAGTGTTTCAGGACAACCTGATGTGCAGAGATCTAATTTATTTTAAAACATGTTTTATTTCTGTGTGTTTTGGGTGGTGCTGGCATTTGGACTTAGGGTGTCTCGCTTGTTAGATAAGCATTCTGCCACTTGAGACATGCCCCCAGCCTCTTTTTGTTTTAGTTTCTTTTCCATGTGAGATTACACTTGTGCCCAGAGCCAATCTCAATATGAGATTCTCTTATCTCTGCCTCTTAAGTAGCTGAGATTATAGAATGAATCACTGTACTTGCTTGATTTTGAGATTGAGCCTCACTAGCATTTTTGTCCAAGCTGATGTGGAGCAGTGATACGCCCATCTCCGTCTCCTAGCTGGCATTACAGGCGGGCACTGTCATGCCCAGCTCCATGTTTTGTAATTATAAAAAATTATACAAATGGGGCTGGGAAGGTGGCTCAGTGGTAGAGTGCTTGCCTTGCATGCATGAGGCCCTGGGTTTGATTCCTCAGCACCACATAACCAGAAAAAAACAGAAGTGGCGCTGTGGCTCAAGTGGTAGAGCACTAGCCTTGAGCTGAAGAGCTGAGGGACAGTGCCCAGGCCCAGAGGTCAGGACCCATGATCAATAAAAAAGAAAGAAAGAAAGCAAAAAAAGATACAAATATGTTTTAAGAAAAAAAAACCTCTGGAATATTCAGGAACGTTTGTTCTTGTAACAGATTTAAATATTTAATAGGTAACTTAGGTCTAGCATTAGGTTTTTGTTTACGTGAAGAGATTTGGGGACATCAACACTGACAGCTGGTGACTACGATATTCCCTCCGTTCATTCCTTTTCCATTGTGGCACTTCATTTATGCTGTTACCTCAAAAGTTCAGACTTCTCATTTTTCCTTTCAAAAAATAAAACCTTTTTTTTTTTGTTGTTGTTCTTTGAAGAGTAAAAAGAGACTTTACTAAAAGAGAAGCTAACTTAGCCTTGGATCAAACCAAAAACCCACAAGAAGAGGATGGGCAAGATAGCAATCTGTGAAGGAGCACCAGCGTCTTCTTGGGACCCTTCTGGAAAGCTCAGGCCAGGAACTTCAGACTGTCTGTCTACATCAAGAAGGACTGAGAGCTGTTCCTTCCACTCTACGTCTCATGACTTAGAAAATGCATATGAATGTCCTTCCTGGGGCCAGCTCCATATAGGGAAGAGTCCCAGGCCTGAGCTCCTGGATGGAAATCCATCACCCCATTGCTGTATAACCTAGTGCAAGCCATCTTCATCATTTCTCTGCTTCTCTTATATTTATCTACAATGAAGGGGTGATGTCAGTTGAGCAGTACCCTGCCTTTTTGGGCATTACAATTGTTATTCTAAATGGTTTTTATTTTCATTTAAAAAGGTATAGTTGACTGTAGTTTTGTCCCATGTCTTCTGATTCCACTGTGACCTAAGGAAAAGTGGGCATCGTGAGCCTCTTCGGAACTAGACAGTGTCACAAAGGGTGCAGGATCCTAAAGGCTGCTTGCACAGGAATAATGATTTCCATGGGTCAGATTAGAAGCAAGTATAGATTTACAGGAACTTCCAGTGGGGTGCTGAAGTTGGCATCCTATCAGGTCCTAAAAGCTAATAAGATCCATCTGTGTACATCTCTTTACAACTTCCTCCTCAGAGATATGGCATTGGTCAGTTGAACTCAGTGACGCTGAGAGAATTTACACCAGGGAAATTGGCAGACACTACAGATCGTGTTTTGTTTGTTTGTTTTTCTTTTCAGCAAATCGGTTGTTAAATATTATCTATTCCACTTACCTTCCTGGTGTGCATGTCCCTTAAGGGCTAATTGTCCTCTGAAGATTAGCAGATGATCAGAGAATATTGAAGCATTGAAAGAAGGTTGACTTCATAGTTCAGGAAACCTCCAAGTTTGCTTTCCCAAAGCAAACAACAGTTCTTCCCTAACCCTTATGGTGATGGCTGGTTATTGAAATCAGATCCTTTGGTTGACTTCCATGACTAGGGTATACATTATAAACTCATCAGATAGATCGTACCTCATTTAGATTGGTGACAAGGTGCAGGGCTGAACATTTTAGAAAACAAGAGTGACTACTGTATCCTAGGAACTTTTTCTCCTGACAACTTCTTCCCTTCCCTGCACAGAGTAACCATGAAAGTGCAGCGTGCAGGCTCCATACATTGCAGCAGCTTGCCACTACCAGCGTGCCCTCTAGCGTAGGGGTGAAGCAGCCTTAAGTTCTGTTGTAAGTTACAAGTGAATTTGGAATATGGTAATACTGAGCCTTCAAATATTCTTTGCCCATAACATCAAGGAAGTGTCTGTTGCCCCAATGAAGCCAAGTACAATGCATTGCCCATCAATCGGGATACAAGTCCCTTTTCTTGTTTTGCTTTACTCTTTATTTCCATCTTTAGTCTCATTTCGGGGAATGCTAGGAGAACTGAAATAATAAACAGCTTACACATGGAGTTATAGGCTAGGATTATAGTAAGATGCTCACACATCTAAGCCAAGTTCATGAACAGAGATGAAGGGAACAGTGGCAGTGTGCCCTTCCCCACAAGAAGAGCAGGCAGAATTTCCTAGTTATTTCAAGCAGTTCTCTTTTTTCCGTTTCCTTTTTTTTTTCTAAGTTTAATTTACCTAAATGTGCATGTAACTCAGTGCTATAGACGTGGAAACAAGAACTTTGTTGGAGAATTTTTTTTTGCTGCCCACACCGAGTAGAGTCAGGAAGTGAATGGGCATGGGAGGTGAGTGTTTTAAACTCTCAGCCACTCAGATGCCCCAACACTGTCCATGCTGATGAAGGACGTGGGTCTCACCATGGTGGCAATGATCTGGCAGTGGAAGGGACCAGAGCGATACTGACTTGGGCAGCCACACTGGTGGCACTAGACCAGAGGAAGGAAAAGGAGGTGACTTCTACCTACAACAACAGATAATTTTTGTTTTTATTTTTTGTGTCGTTTCTGGGTCTTGAACTTAGAGTCTTGGCACAGTAACTTAGCTCTTTCACTCAAGGCTGGCATTCTACCACTGGAACCACTTGAATCTACTTTTGGTTGTTTACTGTTTCATTGGGAATAGGAGTCTCAAGGATTTTGCTCCCTGAGCTTCAAACCGCAATTCCCAGATCTCAACCTTCTGAGTAGCTAGGATGACAAGCTTGAGCCACCAGCGCCCCACGGCCAACTTACTTTCTGAGGGAAGTCATGCTAAGCATGTAGTGTGGTTATAAACCAGAACTAAACCTCACATAGTCATTTAAGATTTTTCCTTCATTCAGTTAATAGGTCCAGGTTTCTGGCATGGCTGTGAAATGCTACTGTTCTAAGAGCAGCCATAATTTTGTTAAAGAATCACAAGACATCTCTTTCATCTGTTTAATTCAATTCCCTACAGTTCCCACAAGTTATTTTTCTACGATATTTCCCCCCTGCAAACTCTGAAAACTCACTGTGACTTTCAGAGGGAAGGATGCCACAGAGAGCGCAGCAGTATACTGGTGACCTGATTCACCCCCTCCGGTGTCCGGAACATTTGCCTTTACCAGCTTCTACCTTCTGTTTGTCTTTACTCAAGTGCGCTTGTGCTGTGTCCACACCTCCCAGATCACCTGGGTCCTTCTCTTGCCTAGGACTTGTTTGTTTGCATCCTCCCTGGAGAGCAGCTTTTGGAAATGGAAGTCAAAGGATGTAGGCCCAGGGAAGCTGAGAGGGATTCCCAGGGCGTGGTTCATGTCTACAACTTAAGATGGGATGGAAACCCATCCGTCTTTGTAGTTTCAATCCCTCACTTGTATTCTTCATGAGCTGATGTCTGTGCCAGAATAAATGTGGACTTTCAGCCAACTACCACTGACTTCTAAAACCATGGATGCATTCATTACAAAGCAGTGTGGGACAGTCTCATAGATTTCCAGTAGCATAAGCTGACGCAATAAGTACCAGTGGGATAAGTTGCTGGATAAAAAGCGAAAACATTGGGCTGGGTCTTAGCCTAGCAATAGCATGTCTGCTTAGCATGCATGAAGCTCTGAGTTAGATTCCTAGCACCAAGAGTAAAGAAATGCAATACATGTTGCAGTACAGAATGATTCTTAGCACATCCCCATCTCTGTGTGTTTTCAAGCTGAAGGAAAAAACAATTCCCAAAGCAAACAAAAATTCTTCCCAAAATCCTTATGGTGATAGTTAGTTGCTGGAATCAGATTCTTTGGTTGAATTCCATAACTAGGGGATGAAAGTTATGAGGTCACTGGATTGACTGTGTCCTAATGTGTCAAGAGGTAATGTTGGGAATTTCAGAAAATGATGGCTGCTGCACCCTTTGCTTATGACATTCCTGGAAACTTTTTCTCCTGACCATTCCCTCCTGTACCTGCGCCGAACATCTGAGAGGTCAGAGGCAGGCCTTGAAGATCAGAACATCCATGAGAGCACATTTCAGCAGGGGCACTGGCTCAAGATGACCTCAGGTGGAGGGGTGAAGCAGTCCTGCCTACGGCTCTGGCTCCGATCCCTAACTCCATGGGAGGAAAGGCTGTGGTAATGGCCTGCACATGGGCTGTGGCTGTACTTGTTTTTGCTGAAGTCATTACTAGGGCCAGGACAGCAAAGCATTGCTAAATGAATTAGAACCATCTTTGTATGATAGGAAAGAGAAATGGCTAGTCTTTCAACCATTATAGCCTTCCCTAGGTCGGATGGAGGGTGCACAACTAGGAAGGAGGAGGATGGATGTAGCTGTGAAAGGACCAGTGTTGATGCTTGCAGTTGATGCTGTGAAGCTAAGTCCTTAATGCTTCCAAAGTGGAACACAAAGGCCATTGACATGTATTGGGAGTTTGCTTCAGAACCCAGGTATCCCCGAATTTTGTCAACAAACGTCTTGTTTCCTACTTCCTACTTGTGATTGTGCGCAACCAGCTCCATGAGCCTCACTGATATTAAACATTGCTGTCAAAGCCCAGGCTTCGGTTTTCTGTGCTATTATGAACAGACAACAGATCTGGTAGCCGTTGATGATGCACGTGTGCTATGTCCGGCTGTAGCTGATAGAAGTGTGCCTACCTGCATGTATTAAATGTCTTTTTAACAGTTATCCCATTGTTTTCCTTGGCAGTGTGATCTCTGTATGTTTGTCTCTTCCCCTCCTTTCCTTCCCTTCCTCTCCCTGTATGTTCTGTGTTTCTCCATAGAGGTAATATTGAGGTTGTCCAAAGTCATCTGTTTTTGCCTCCACTTCCTGTTGAGAAAGACTCCCCTTAAGCAGAGAGTAGCTGGTGGCTGGTGCTAATGATGAGCCATATGTATACAATGAAGCCCATTTTAACTGATCTGCACATAGAAAACCTCGACTACCTGACATCCAGCATCCACAGCCAGAATGCCCGTTTCTACTTTTTCACTAGTGACCTCAAGCTCATAGATAACTCATACATCATGGTTGGTTTGGTTTTCCCCAGCACTTTGCCTCTTACCCCCTCTGCAAGTCTCGTTCCATTCCACACACTAGTGTGGTAGGTTGATGTTCCAAGGCCCCATAATCTGGGACAGACACCTCAACTCTTGCAGCTAGAAGAAGTTTCTGCCTTAGGAAAACATCGTATGGGCTTTCAGTCATCTCTCAGACACACTATAGTTCAGCTGCCAGCAAGCCCTGAATGCCCTGAGCCTGGCATGGAGTAGTGGGCCCTTGTGATGCTCACTGGCTCCTGCCAGTCATTTCAGCATTCTGTTTTGTGGTTCCTAGCATTAGTAGAACACAAAGTAGGGTCTAGAACACTGGCCTTGAAGAAGGCCAGCCTTAAGGATGTGATCTCTTTTCTACAAGTTGCTCCAGTTCCTTTATCCTACACCTCTGGCTCATGGTCAGAGCCCCTTTGTGACGGCTTAGTGGCAAGAGTTGACTCCAGAAACTTCTTTGGGACCAGTACTCCATTGTGAGCCCTGTTCTATGTTCCCCTTCCATGTTCTATCTGGTAGGATGTGATTCAGCCAGCACTACCTGCAGCCTCCAGAAGTGTGAGACTTGGTCCCTGTATCTTTCACCAACATTAAGATAATGGTGGTGTAAGATAAACTTCACCACAGTGCTGTGTCCTGAGTTTGCTGACACATTCACAATGCCCTCATACCTACGCAGATCCTTAACAAAGCTCACTTGTTCCTTGCTCACACGGAGCTAGAGGTGTTTCACCAGTTCTGAGCTTGAGTCACAATGTAAGCCTACAGACAGGCTTATTAAACATCAGACACTGACCCTCTACTGTATAATATTTCTCTATTGTGCTCAGAGCAGCTTTTGATCATTTTTGAGCACTGTGTTCTCCTTCATCAAAGGCATTAATGCTACCAGCCCAAGAAGAACTCATCACCTATCAAAGCAATTCATTAAAAAGAATTTTCTCTCCTAGGGTCTCTGCTACTTTCTCCACCTGTGTGGTCATCCATATTCCTGCCATTTGGCTAAGGATGTAAGTCTTACTGGTTTGAGGACAGTGCAGAGCTGGTGCTATGCCTGACTTTTCCAGCATCCATCCTTTCTTCTGGAATCACTTATTCATTTTCTTGGTGGGGTAACTGAGTTCACAAAGATCCATGTATGTGACACGTGTGGGTGAGTGATTCGCCCATGCTCTCTCCTGGCCACAGTGACCTCTTCATGATGAACATATGACTCAGAGCTGAGTCACCCAGGTGAATTTCTCCAGCTGGAAGGATGGAAGGCATTGTTCTAGGATTACTCAACAGATTGAGATCAGAACCTGGAGATCTCATGGAAATTTTAGCCCTAATGTAGAAAGCACTTCCCCAAGAAGGAAGCATGCAGATAGAAAGCAGCATTCTGCCCTCTGGTGTCCGTGATCAGCTGGACCATGCAGCCAGGATCCAGCCTTGCCCAAGCCAGTGCCCTCGCACAGGTGAGGCCATGGGTTAATTTGCCCTCAGCTTTTCAGTTCCACTAGATTTGAAGATTTCACACTTACACAACTGAACATGCTTCTCCTCTAACTCCTCCCTGTACCCCCTTCCCCTTCCCCCGCCCTCTCCTCTCCCCCACCGGTTGGTCATGGAGCTTGAACTCAGGGCTCAGACACTGTCTCTGAGCTCTTGCTAAAAGTGAGCACTCTACCACTTTGAGCCACAGCTCCACTTCTGGTGGTTAATTGGAGATAGGAGTCTCACAGACTTTCTGCCTAGCCTGGCTTTTAACTACAGTCCTCATTATCTCAGCCTCCAGAGTAGCTAGGATTACAGGCATGAGCCGCCATCTCCCAGCTTTTTTTTTTTCTTTGTAATGTTGAAGAGATCGAATCCACGACCTTGTGCCTAGATGACAAGTACTCTGCCATTGAACTACATCCCCCAGACCTGGAGAAAGTTTTAAAGACTTCTTTATTACAGCCCCAGAGCCTTCAACTTGCTGGTATGTATGTACTTAAAAACTCGCAAAGAAGTAGCCATAGTAATCCTTCCAAAAAAATGTTGTCCATCTTGAGATTGGTGCTAAAACTGTCCCGTACACAGTTGTAGTTTTTCCTCCAAGTGCAGACTTTTAGAAAAGTATAGATCGTTCTTACAAAACAACCCAATAAGCAGGACTTTCTTTCTGCCAATACCCCAAACACCAAACTAAACTAAACCAAAGCAAAGACCTTTTAGATTCTGTCTTGCATTCAGCAGGCTTTATTCCAAATATGAATGCTTCCTATACTAATACTAAATTTGACAGTTCCCAGGAAAATCTTATTTATTCCCCAAAGTTTTAATAATGGTCAAATTAACCACTTAATGTCCATGAAAGAAAATACCAGCTAGGCACTGGTGGTTCACAAATATAATCCTACTTACTCAAGAAGCTGAGATGTGAAAGTTGTGGTTCAAAGCCAGCCTAGGGACACAGATCTGGGAGACTTTCAGCCCTAATTAATAAAAAAACTAGAAATGGAGGTGTGGTTCAAGGAGTAGAAGGATAAAAAGCATTGAGTAAAAAAGCCAACCAAGAGTTTGAGGCACTGAGTTCCACCCCCAATACCAGCATTTAAAAAAAATAGGAGAAACCCACAAAGGAAATTTTCTACAGATTACCATCCTCATCATATCTGTCATGTGTAGTAAACATTTGAGTCCCAGGATGCATTGTTAATAGAGTAGGAGATTTTCATCAGATACAGAAGACAAAAGAACCATGTTGGTAATTTTATAGTCATTTTAATAACCAGGTTTACATTAACAGTCACTTGATGAACTTTTTTTTTCTTTAAGTTCAGCTAACTCAATACACAGTTTTCTTCACGGTTCAAACCAAACAGCTCTTCAGACAGAGCTACCTCACAGCTAGCACAGATCACAGGGCGGTTTACTGTCTGTCCATATCCACCAGTCACAGAACTGAACACCCACACACCATGTTGCAAAGGGGGAATTACAAGGAATGCGGGCTGCCCAGGATGGCCTGGGCCAGCCAGAAGTGCATCTGGGACTCAAGCTGGGGTGTATTCATGGGGGAAGGGCTTGGGGTGTTGGGGCAAGGACCAAGATTGGGAACCATCCACTTGTGGGAAGGGACTTCTCATGGTGAGCAAAATGGAGTCCAGGCTTAGGATTCAAAATGACTGTTAGAATGGTCAAGAAGAAAAAGACTGAAAGATGACTGCACTTTGGAACAAAGCCATTTGAGGGATGAATCATCCCACTGGCTTTAGAGAACCTAGAAGTAAAAGAAATATCTCTACTGGAATGGTTGATTCAATAGTTCTACAGAGACCTCCCCAAATTCCTAAGCTCACGGCCCTGTTAAACAGAAAGCCCCAACAGATTGCTAGCTGAGCTTAGTAGCAATGAAAGAAAGTAGGAGAAGAGCAGGTCATCCTCAGAGAGGGGTCAAGCCAAGACACAGGATGGCAAAGCTGGCTTGAGAAATGGGCGGGAGACCCATACCCATGCTCCCTCTCATGCTTAAGTAAGATGTCTGTGAACATGGAGGGGACTGAGGACACAGGGCCATTTTCTTTCCCTCAGCCCATTGTTGAAGGGCTATTTGATTCGTCTATGTGGCAGAACAGATGGAGAATATTTCCCAGGTTAAGAAAATAGCGAGTCTATTTTCTAGGGATTCTCAGGAAATTCTCTGCTTGAATGTTTACTATTGGTAAGTAAGGAAGGGGAGACTTTCGAAAACTGTTGCTCACCCAGAGGGCAAGAAAGAATTGTTGTAGACTATACACTTGAGGTTGGATGCTGCATTTTGAAGGAAGAGTCATTTCCATGGCATAAAAGAGACCTGGAGGGATGGGTGTGGTTTAGGGCTGGCTGACAGCAGAGCAGGTGCTGAAGTGGATGCTCAGACTAGTTTACTGACATGTCTTTTCCTCCATCTGGTGGCCATGGCTGGTATTACAACCTACCCTAAAGTCCAGCCTGGCTTCTGAGGTATATTTATATATATGTAAATGCTTCCCATCTAGCAAAATCCCTTTCTATAGAAAAGTCATTCTGACTCATATCTTTGAATTGTAAGTTAAAGCTACACTTTCCCTTTTTTGCTTAAGGTTTTCTTTGAAAAGAAAAGCACCACGAGAGCCTTAAAATAGCACAGTTGCATATTATAAGGTGATAAGAGTATTTCTTCATGATTAGAACAGAAAGGAATTTGCCAGGGGAAATCCTCTTCCTTAGCTATTTTCAAATCCTTTTTCAGCCAAGTGTTTCTCTGTTGTTCAGCTTATTACAAAGTTTGCAGTTAGGGATGGAGTTGCAGCACCGTGGTAATGTTTGCCTAGCATGTGTTAGGCCCTGGGTTCAACTGCCCAGCACCGACAAACAAAAACAAACACACACACACACAAAATCAAAACCTGCAGTCAGACAATGGTTTCTCCTAAGTACTTAAAAGGTGTTTGAGGCCTGCTCTTCTCTTCAAAGTACTTAGCACTCAGGGTTATTGGTTCTACCACATAGGTCACCGGGGCACAGAGCTCTGATTCCATGTTTTTTCCTACATGAGAATGTCTTGATTTTACAGATTCTTGCCTTCTTCACAGACCTCGCTCCAAAGCTGGGCAAGAGGTCTGAGAGGGAGATGGACATGATCTCTGACAAATGGCCCCTTCTGATTTCCTGTTCCTCCTCCACGAGGAAGGTTATATCCCATAACTCCACTTGTGTAGGAGACTTTAGTACTGTAACAAAAAGTTACTCTCAAGGGTCTGCTAATGGAAGAGGAAAGAGATGTCTTGTGATTGAAAAAGAAAGATGGAATCAGAAGTTACAGGATACGTTCCCTCTGCTCCAGACTGATTTTTCCAGATCCCTGTTTTACTCTCCTAAGAGCAGATTCCCCATGAGTAGTAAAAAATAGAGAACACCTAATGAAATCAATTAAAAATCATCGCAGTCAACCATTGACATTCCTCCATCTCAAACTCACCATCGTTGATCTCTCCTCCCCTTCGTCACCATGTCCCATCAGAGCTAAAGCCCTAACTCAGGATGTCAGAAGCGTGAGCTGCTTCTGGGTTTGCAGAAGAGCCTGTCCTGTCCTCAGAGGGAGGCATTGTAAGCCGCTGGGCCCCTCCTCACTGGGGCCTGTGCTGCGCTCAGTCATCACCTTCTAAGAGGAAGAAGACGCTAGCATCGCCGGCTCCCTCCCAGTCTGCCCTTCCCATCCCAGGAAGGAGAGGATTTGAAAGCAATGCCAGGAAAGAGGCCCAAGCCAACACCAGCCTCATCAAGCAGGGAGAAGAAATGACTGGATTCTGGTGTATCAATAAAGCGTTCAAAGAAATGAAATCTACTAGGAAGGGATGTGAGACAAGTTCCAGAATGCAAAGACTACCTGCCTTCTTGGAGGGACCCCCAGAGGTCCCCAGTTAAGCAAGGGCAGCCACAAGTAGCCATCTTCCATGGAAATTAATAACATGTCCTCAACACAATGCCCACAACACTGCTGCTCAGCCAGCCCACCCACCTCCCTCCTACAAGCCCCACCCCAGCCCTTCTTCACCCTCTGCCTTGCTTGGAGCTCCTACCACCCACTCACCCCAAATAACCTGTGTGGCTTTTAATCGTGTCCCTGACCTCCCAGCTTTGTCTGTCCCTTTGTCATATGATGTAGCACTACACACGCTCTCAACACTATGGGATAGCAGACTCTTTACCTTAGTGGCCTGTCTGATTGCATGCATGTCAGTGGGGGAAAGGGGTCAAACAAATCAAGGCTATGCATAAACAGAAAAACAAAGCAATATTGGTAAAGCTAGGCAAGCAAGCGTAACATGGATAAACATAAGGCTTGAGGCTTCTTGATTCTTTAGATCACAACCGTTTGGATGTACTTTGCTTCTTAAATAATGGTGTGGACCATTTTGGCTTCAAAACAATCTCTTCTTGCTTCTTTGCACCTGCTCCTCCCCTCCTCTTTGGGAAGGAGTTGCTTAACTCAGAGATGTGATATTAGAGCGGCCTCCAGGGGGCGCCACAATGCGCTTGCTGGCAGAGCGGACGCCCTCATCCACTTGGGTGCCTGTCGTTGGAAATAAATTCCCAGGGAGAAATAAGGAAGGAGTAAAAGGCAAAATGATTACTTTGAAGAGAATTAGGTAGGAAATGTCTGACTGGCCTAAGAAACTTAGAGTAGACCTTGATCTCTTCATAGTTACTTCCCCTTCCTTGGGACAGTGCTTTCTGGTAGGAACAGTGGAGTTTCTATCTAGGTTGTATCTGCCCCTGAACTTGACAACGTTTCTAAGAACACTGAAAATCAGGAGGCAAAAGACTGCTGCCTAACAGTAATTGTGGCTAGCAAAGCTTCAAGAGCCTCCACAAGTAATCCCATTTGAGCCATGTGAGTCTTGTTTAGGGACAGGCTATTGTTTCTACTCACAGGGGAGGAAGGAGGCCAAAGAGCTAGGTCCCTTGCCCAGAGCTTGAAGGATCCTGACCAGGACCCTCTGAACAGAAAACAGTGAATGGCCAGGTCCATTTCCCCATGAAAGGAGCCTTGAAAAATGCTCTTCCAGCTCTTATTCTTCTTCTACAAGCCATGGGAGTCTCCTTTTAAACACACCTTCTCTTTCTTATTATCCTGATTCCCCCAAACCTATGTCTCCCATAGGGAAGGGACTCTATGTTTATTTCTCCCCATTGTAGACCATTGACTGGGGAACAATTGAACCATGATTTTCTGTTCCTATCAGGGAGTTCTTAAAGAACAGGTCAGATAACAATATGAAAAACACACAGTAAAAGTTAAAGCTGTGGAAGCTACTATTATTATTACCAGGGAGAGAAGAACACTAAAACTGTAAAGTTATAAGAAGCTACTGCACTTGGAGGATAAAAATAGAGCTTTTTTTTTTTTTTGCCAGTCCTGGGACTTGAACTGAGGGCCTGGGCACTCTCCCTGAGCTTCTTTTGCTCAAGGCTAGCACTCTACCACTTGAGCCACAGAGCTACTTCCAGCTTTTTCTGCTTATGTGGTGCTGAGGAATCAAACCCAGGGCTTCATGCATGCGAGGCAAGCACTCTACCACTAAGCCACCTTCCCAGCCCACAACAGAACTATTTTTATAAATGACAGGAGCACACTATGTGTCATAGAGAATCACGATCACTTCAGCTCCTCGGTGCCGCTCTCAAGCAGGTCTGAGCTCAAAGCATTTGTTGTCATTTGCATTTGACCTTGAACTTGATCTCCAACCTGACTAGTCCTTGTCTGACTTTCTCGCCAGGATATTGTTCGGCTTCCAAACCTTCCTTCTTGTCCCCCCTAGCCTTTTCCTCAATGGGATGCCAGCACCAGGCTGGAGACACATGAAAGACCAACTCTTAGGATCTCAGTCCCCCTTATAGGCACCCTGGTCCCTCCCCACCCCCCTTAATAAATCTGTGCTGCTCACCTGACAGGCTGAATCCTGACTGATGCAAATTCCTCACAGGTGGATTCGGCCGAGTGGGAGAGCCCCGGGTAGAACCGGCGGGAGTCCCTCCTTTAGGGGTGGTGGTCAGATCAAACACCGGCCCATCGTACATGCCCCTTGGGACTGCGTGCAGGTCTCCCATCTGCAGCCAGAAAGACAAGGGTCACCATTCATTTATGACAGATCGAGGTCTGCATGTACATCTCTGTGAGCGCAGCGCGCACGGGATTTTCTATAGCTGGGCTTGTGTGAAGGAGAAGGCAAGGTGGGAAAATGCCTGGTGTGCTGGGGATGACAGGGTGGGCAGGAGGGAGGAGCCCAAGCTGGAAGTGTTACCACACGGGCCGGAGCCCAGCCATCAGGAACTGAAGCCATGTCAAGCAAGGTCTCACAGGCTGGCAACGTGGGGTCACATGGGAGTTCTACCTTTAAAGCACACATCAGGAGGACTAGGCCTTGAATGAGAGTCTGTGGTCTGACCCCACGGACTCTGGCTGTGGGGCCAGCCAACAATGTCAACCAAGGGCAGGCATGCTCAGGGCAGGGCCTCAGGCCAGATGCTGGAGTTTGTATGGTCCTTTGAAATACGATGCTTCCCTCAGAGGGACTCACAGTCTAATGGACAAACACTGCAAGACCATAGTTGGTGGCAGTGGGCCCAGGGCCCGGCACACAGCCTCTACTCACATTGGATCATTGGCCACAGCAAGGCAAGGAGGCCATGCTGCTAGCCATACTTGAGTGTAAGGACTGAACACAGCTTGACAACAGAAGTCCTGCCAGAGCCTTCCATCTGTGTTCATGAAGTGGACAGGCTGGCAAAAACACACAAGCCAAGCTCATCAGTGTGTGCGTGTGTGTTGGGGGAGAGGGGGGCGGTCCATGGAGCCATGATGATGGTATCTCTGCTTCCTAAGGAGCAGGCCCAAGTCTCTGTTCTGGAATCTAAGTCACATCCGCAGAAATAAGGAGTGAACACTAGGGAAGTTTGAGTCTTATTTTCTTCTCTGTTAGGTCCAAACTGGACACATATAAAATGTGAGTGTGAGTCTATGTGTATGTGTGAGAGAAAGACAGACAAAGACAGAGAGACAGAGGGAGACAGAGCGAGAGTGTGTTTAAAATCAAGAACTTAAGCGAGCTTGTGTTTCACCCCTGGTAGCTAGAAGTTGTCAACATTTGCACCATTGAACAATACTGACAGGCTGGAATAGGATGGGTGAATGTGAACTCTGGTGCTTATTGTAAGCCATTAAGAATATCCAGAGCAGAGGGGGGGACCAAGATGGCGACGGGGCAGTAGGGAAACGCCACAGCTCTCTCCAACCAAAAAGAGAGTTCGAGTTCCAACGCTTAATCTCCCCAAGAGACCGACAACAACAAAAAGACGAAC